AATAGTTAAAGCACATTTATTAAGAATCTTTTCAGTCTTTCAAATCATCTGGAGTGTGATAAGTTCTCACAACTACTCAGCTCTCTTGATCCTCTGAGAGCTGCAGCCAACATTTACATAAAAATGAAGGCTATCTAACTAGTAGTTTTACCGGTTCAAAACCAAACAAGTTAACTGAGATGGCCAGCAGTGCTTTAAAATTTGCATTGTTAAAACAGAAGAGGGAGAAGAGTAATCATGTGTGACAAATTTCATTTGGTCATTTTAACCAAAAATTTTTTCTCCTTACTAAAAGCTTGTAACAAAATTAGGGCAGATAAACACATTTTCACTTCTACAGAAAAAGTTGATCCCAAGGAGATGGAAATCGAGTTTGAGATCCAGGTCCATTTGTCACCTGGCGAAAGGGATACGTATTTATGTTTTTGCAGAGTAAAGCTGAAGGACTCCCTTTAAAAGGATGCAACCACGTTTGGAGAAAGATGAACAAGGAGATGGAGAAGCCACCCAATCTTAATCATAATTCTGTTTCCAGGTGGCTGACACCCCAAAGGGCGCGGCTTTTTGTTTGTTTTCACAGATAAAGGAGATAGGTGCATTTCTTTTCAGCCAGCAAGGCCCAGAAGAAAGGAAGGACGCTCCTGCTGTGCTCCGAGTGTTGAGGGCCAGACATCCTGATGAGGAAGGCAAAAATTTTCATTTCACTCTGGGTTTTGAAACAATGCCTTTATGTGGGGGTGCCAGCCCTAGCTGTTTAGCCATTAACTCTCAAGCACAGAATAACTGCCTGGTCTTTAATGAAGCCAGCTATGGCTTCTATATGATAATGGGTGAAGCATTTGCAGAATATGAAAACTCCACTACTGTGGAGGGGAAAGGAGATACAGAAACCTGTAAAGTTATGAGTTAGCGGCATGTCACAGCTGACAGGCTCAAATGGTTCAAATGTCAGGGGCCGCATGGCAAAGTGTTAAGAAATGACACTGTAACTATCATTGATTGGGGCCCCCACGGAAAGTTTCTAACTAAATGCTCAGAGGAATCCAACATTACCTCATGTGATTATACAAGTAATTGTGAGTGGCACGAGACCCCTGACGGCATTGCCACTATCAGGTCAAAGTTGATGCCTGACACAAAGGAGGCCTTGCACCGCCCCGCCCCAGGTTTACTAAAGCCTGTGACAGGACATGAACAGTGGGACCTGTGGAAGTTACCACTTGCCACTAAGCCTTTAACAGGCTATACAGGAAGCTTTACTCGCACCAGTCAGTCTGGCTATACTTACACTTTTCACAAGAATGAGACGCGATACATAGTCTCGTGTGTAAAGCTGCCTTATGTGGTTGCTGTAGGAAACATCATCATACATGAAACTGCTCACAGTGCCACCTGCCACAATTGTAAATTGTTCACTTGCATTAACCATGCTCTGCTTATAAACCTTTCAAAAGACAGCATCCTCATCCTAAAGAGCAGGATGGGGGTGTGGATCCCGGTGGAGATGAAGCGCAGATGGGAGAGCAGTCCAGAATCGTCCTTCATGATGCAAGTGGTGTTGGAGATGCTGAAAAGACCTTGCCGATTCATGGGAATGGTCATCGCAGCTATACTTGGACTTATAACAATGGCCACCACTGCTGCTGCCGCTGGGGGTGCTCTACAAGAGTGCATCAAAACTGATCATTTCGTGCCGAAGTGGCAAGTGAACTCACATCAGCTCTGGGCCACTCGGGCAAAGGTAGATGATGAGCTGTGGGGGGGGCGGGGGAGGGGGGGGTAGCGGAGTTGCAGCAAACTGTCCAGTGGTTGGAGATCATATCATGGACTTGCAACATCAATTAATGTTAATGTGATTGGAATGTAACTGATTTTTGTATAACCCCTTACCCACATAATAAGACATTTCATGATTGGGATTTGGTCAGGAAACATTTGCAAGGGCTTAAGGGAAACATTGCATTAGATGTTGATCAGCTTAAGAAGGATATACATTCTTACATTCAAAGACAGGCTTGAGGTGTCTCCTGGCTCTGATATGATTAAGCAATTGGTGAAAGGCATGGAAGGGTTGGATCTTGAGCTTGGGCTGAAAGTATTTCACATAGCTTAAGTTCCAGTCTGACTGTTTTGCTTATCATCATAATTTTGATGCTCGCAGTCTCATGTCGCTTCTATAGGAAGCTAAGAGATATGAAGAGAGACCATGTTGCCTCTATGACACTATTAAATCTTAAACATAATACAGAAAGGGGAAATGTGGGATATTAAAACTGAGGGAAATAGAACTGGGACTTATTCCCTGACGGGTACACAGGGAATCTGGAAGGCCAGTGGTCCACAGTAGGAAAGCTGCCCTTCTAGTAGTTGAAGATATAGTCCAAGTGCATTTTCCTGTGGCGATCTATCATTTCCACAGTTTCTCCCTTAAAGCTGTGCTGCCTTAAAGTGAGCACATGGTTGATTCTGTCTCCCTATAGAAGCAGACGTTCCTATTTGGTCTATTTCTTCCCATCATGGCATCCAGCCCTCTCATACCTTCCTCCAATAGAAGATGGGCCTACGGGGACTTTATCCCCCAAGCCTGGATTCTAAATGCTTGGCATAAGCCTGAATTTTGGCTTAGTGATAATAATTTGGTCATTAAATTTGCCTTGACAGCTTTCAATGTATAGAAAATAACCATGTAGCCACTGCGGCTCTTTTGAATTTTGTATGTAAAACAAAAGGAGGAATTGTGGGAAACAGAAAGATTTCTCCCATGTTGTCTCCCCCAAATATATCCCAAACTTAGCTGCTACCTCTCATGCTCTCTATGACTTTACTATAATCTTTACTTATTATCGCCTTACAATTGCACCTACCGGACCACCAATGATTTGTTGGGGGCTCTGTCCCCCCATACAGGTCGATAACTCTAATAAAACCTGTTAATTAAAACCCACGCTCTGGGCCCATTTTCCTTTTATTCCCATCCATTCTAACACCTACAAAAGGTAAAAATTATGGGGAGTGGGCAGTGGGGGTGGGATTGTTGGAGTTTGGCAAAATGTGAGCAGACACCCAAGTCAAATAGAAGGCCCTGAGGTTTCCCTTCCAAGATCTGAATACCTTCAAAACTGCTCAAGGAGGAAAGAGTCCTTAAGTTACTCCCCGAAGAAGGCACGAATCAAGACCAACTGAAGCTGACAACGCTGAAGGGGTCTACAGAGCACACAGTTGTTTGACCAAAAGCTGGCAACATATGTAAGGAAACTTTTCCATGAGGAAGCCGAAAGGGGGAGTCTGGGAGCAAGAATGCTTCCTGACATTAAGGATAAATTTCCAGAGCACAGAAAAGAGGTCTGGTGAGAAAGAACAACACTCTTTGAGGTTTCTGTCAAGAGAGTCATAGCACTAACATGTAACATAAAATTTGGGTGCAAATCTTAATATACCCCCTTTAAAAGGGAAATGATAACATGTTGTGGAAAAGCAGACCACCACCACCAGCCCCAATAAAGGGGGAAAAAAGTGGAGAAGGTGTTCTTGGACAGAAGGCTATCTACCATAAAGTTGGCTATCATACCCAAGTTAATTTCTACATGTAACATGTGTTCAAATAAAAACTTCATTGTTTCACATAATTTGAAAGGAAAAAAAAAAAAGGTTCCCAATCATTTTCACACCATGACCCATAGAGACAAGAATATTATTGCTTGGCTAAACCAAGGCAGCTGCTCTTGAGGCTGGCCAAAGAACTGTGGGCAAGAGAAAAAAAGAACAAGAACTGTGGGCAGTTCCAGGCCGGCCCGATCTCCAGGCCCTGCCAGGACCAATACACACGTGTGGTCCATTTCCCTGCCTCCAAAGCTTGAAAAAGCTTTGCCCTAGAATGGCTAATGGGGCTTTCTAGCTGCTCATTAGAATCACCAGGGTTGGGCAGGGGGACTTTAAAGCCATTCGAATACCTACGGCCCCCAAGTGATGACATAAGCACCTCTCCTGGTGGCAGGCGCTCTGGTGCAGACTGGGAGACACATCGGGCTGAGACACCAGGTCAGCAGCTGGAACCCCCAGCGGCTCCTCCGGAGAAAGAGGAGGCTTTCTGCTGCCGAAAAGAAACTCACGGGGCAGTTCAACTCTCTCCGACATGGTCACCTTCAGTCACAATCGCCTGGATGGGTGTGAGTTTGGGTGGGTTTGGGCTCCAGAAGACCTGTGGGGATCTCAGTCAGCTGGGGCCCTTGTCCACGGGCAGGTGCTGATTCATTCTTGGGGATCTGCAGTCCAGCCAGCTCTCAGGAGATTGGGTCAATGGCGCTGGGAAGCAGATCTACAGAGATGACCTGGAGGTAAGGCTCAGCAGAAAGTGCTGCCCTGGGCGCTCCCTCCCTTCTCTCAGCACCCATGAACGAGCAGCAGAGCATGCTGAGAGATGGAGGAAAGGCCATGTCCCATGCAATCTCAACCGCAGGCCCACCCCACCCCACCCTCCCTAAACAAACAAACTCACTCACTGCCATGATGGCGACTCAGATCCACAGGACAGAACTGCCCCTGTGAGTTTCCAGGACTGTAACTCTTTACAGGAGTAGGAAGCCCCATCTTTCTCCCCCTCCACCCAAAATGCCCGGTTTTTAATATAACGGGCCAGGCTGGCTTAGAAAGAGCAAGGGTGGGCATGTGTAGCCCTGATGGGAAGCATTTCATGTGCATGCCTGTGATGAGAGCACAAGGCCCCCATCCTGTGCTGCAGAGTAAAACTGTACTGTAAGCCTAATGACTAATGAGCTTCCACTTGATCCTCTCTGCCCTCGGTGGGGACTCTTCACCAGGGCACATTAACTTGCATGTCATCTTGATTGGGAAACAGGTACCAGAGAGTAATAGGATTATGTTGGTTTCGTGAGAAAGGAAGATCATCTCCAAAAGAAATACAGGATGGTTTCCTCCCTGTGTGTGTGTGGTCACCTCATGGGAGGTGACCGCCCGCCGCGCCCTGGCAATCCACGCCGTACCTTAGACAGTGCGTAATAGACGTGTTCTGCTCCACATCCACGGACAGGTCAAGGAAGTCTTCATCTTTGCTGCTCACCTGAAGCCAAAACAAACAAACAAGGATTGGTCAGAAGAGAGCACATCAGGCTCGGACAGAGGTATTGAAAGGTCATCCCAGATCAACAGCACCAAAGTCCCCAGTGGCTGCGAAGGCCCTCTGGTGACCGGTGTTTCCTCAGAAAAATCCCAGAGTCTCCCCTAAACCTCACCTGCCTCCTCTGCCCCAGTTTGCATGCAGAACTTTTCTTAATCAGAACTCAGTCCGATGCCTTTTCCTCTCCGTTCACATTCTTCACCCCCCACCCCCACCCCTTTTTCAATGCAGGGGGTATCAGCTGAGCACCCAATAGTACAGCCCAGGCCTTAACAATGGACGTTGGACGATAACGAGAATCAGAAAGCCCGTTGTCCAGACCAGCACCCCCACGCTCCACTGTTTGTACTTGACAGGCCCATGTGAGGGAGCCGGGAGCCTGATGCCACGGGACAGGCTGGAGAGTCCCACCAACCCACATACAGCTACCCTGTGGCCCAGACGGCGGCCGCCATGCGCAGAACTGTGTGGCATTTGTGGACACAGGGGTCCCCCACGCTGTCTTCTCAGAGCTACACAGTTCTCACCACACCGATGCTAGGTGTCAGCCCTCCCAGGAAGGCCCCACCTGCCCGTCCGAGGACAAACCTGGCTCTGTCCTGTCCTGCTCCTGGTAAGGGAGGGGGACTAAATGACCCCACCACAACTCTGAGGTGCTTGGCCAGCCTTCGTCAAAGTGGCTTGAGGGGGCTTGTGATGAAGCAGTAGATGCGTGAGGAAAAGGGAGGAGACTTAAAAAATTAAAAATTGTGTGGGAAAATTCATTATCTTGGAATTCCATTTTGCCGTGACATTTTTGAAGCCCACTCATGTTTAGGCACAGCGCAGTTGTATTTTTCATTTATTGATTCTCTTGTCTCCTCTCGACTAAAATGAAACTTCTAAAAGGCTGGCTTTGGGTAACGGCTAAGATCCTTCCACACGAACACACGCAAAACAAACCAGCAACGAATTCTGCCAAGTAACTGGACACTGGCCCAGCTGCCTGGAGAGGCGTGAAGACTGGACCCCATCAGGCAGGTGGGAGCCTTCACTTAGAGAGGGATGAGCTCATGGCTGCACAGCTTTGGCTGGGGCGGTTCGTGGGAAAGTGCGCTCATCCTGGTCAGAAGACCGAATCTAGGAGGCCTTGCCCCCTGGAAAGAAGGGAGCCTGCAAGGATATTCCCAACTCTGTCTGCACCATCTCTGAGCAACCCGTGAACTGTTCATGCGGTGTATCTTCAACGGAACCCAGCTGGAGACACAAGATCTGCTCCAAGAACCCAGCTGCTACCCAAGAAGCAGTCTGCAGCTTGCGTCCAACCAAGAGACTTGTCTACTATAACTAAAATGGTACTTGCCAAAAGGGGGTGAGGGAATGGGGCAACTACAGACACTGGAGTCTCTGTCACCTGGCATTTATACTGTCCAGAGTAATACCCAAACCTACAATGTGTGCAGAGACAGAAGACTTTCTTAAAACAGAAATCAACCAGTGCCAGTCCTGAGATGATCCTGATGCTGAGAAAATTAGCACACAGGCATTGTCGATGGGTGACTACATCTATCCTTAGTAAAGGAAACCATGCTGGCCATGAAGTTACTAAGGATCCCAACAGAGAACTAGAAACACTTTTTTTTTTTTAATCAAATGGAAGTTCTAGAATTTAAAGGTAGAGCGTACCGAATGAATTTAGCAGCACCCTGCCAGAGCTAGGACAGCCATAAAAACCTAGAAATAGGCCAATAAAAATCATCCAGAAAAACAAAGGAAAAAGATAGTGTGAAGATGAACAGACAGACATGTGTTGGCGTAACATCACACATGTAATTAGAGTCTCAGAAGGGGAGGAGAGAGAGAATATTTGCTGTATGGACAGTTTAGAAGGTGGGAGGGGAGGGATGGAAACAGGGAATACAAGGACGGAGCGGGACAGGCGATGTTAGGCTGAGGGGACAGCTGTGAAGGAGATGCCACAAAAAGTGTATGGATGATGGATCGTTGGATAGATTGTTGGATGGTCTGCTCTGGAAACCTTCACTCAACCCACAACAGAAAGACGAAAGAGATGAGAAAAATGATTTGGAAAAATAGCGGGTAACGTGTTCCCCAATGTGGTGGAAGACGTATATTTAAGATCCTAAACTACCACCAAGCAGGAAATACAATGGTCAACCAAGTACATCAGTCAAATGGTTGAAAACTAAAGATTAAAACGCCAACCCTCACTGGTCCAGATAAGCGCTCTCGACACGGGGAACCCAGGACAGATAAACCCCTAAGACCCAATCATGAGAGTAGTGATGCTAGGAGGGTAAGGGAAGGGGGGTGGGGGGCAGGGAATAAGGAGGAAC